CCCCAAAACCCCAAAACCCCAAAACCCCAAAGAGTGTTATTAAAAGATACACGATTTTATAAAAAAATTAATTAAAAATGGATCAAATTAACTTGGGCTAGATTATGGGACAAGATCAATAAAGAGATTAGTTGGAGGAGAAGCTTGAATAGAAATTAGCAAAACTAGAGAATGCTTAGTATTGTCTCATTAATAATAGTGGAGTCTCAGCTCTTTAAATGATGTTCCAACTACTTGGGCATAAAGCGAGAATAGTAGTTTAGGATGATTTTTATTCTGGAACAAGACATATGCTTAACAAAGTTTTTAATGAAAGATTAGAGCAAGTAGCAATCAACCCTAATAATTTCAAAGAAAAATTAGTTGAATTACTTTCACAGTCAGATCTCAATATAAAGGTAGATTTCAATATTTGAATATGAGCTTTATTCCTATATAGTTAGTTCACATTGAAACTCCAAGCAATCCTTTAATGCAAGTATTTGACTTTAGAGAGATCTCCTAGATTTGTAAAAAATATGATATTTTATTATCTGCTGATAACACTCTTTGCACACCATTATTTCAGGTAGTTCAATATTAATTTAAGAATGATATAGAAACCATTAGATCTTGGATGCGATATAGTCATTGACTCATGCACAAAATATATTTGTGGGCATTCTGATTGTCTAGCTGGTTCGATATGCACAAATAATCTTGAAATTTATCAAAGATTAAAAGAGATCAGAGATTGTAAGCTTACTTAAGTAACTTAAAATCTATAAAGTGTCTGGACAAAATTTAGACTCTTTCAATCTTTATCTTATGGAGTAAGGACTTCAAACTTTCAAGCTTAGAGGATCTGTCATTTAATAAAATGCTCTTAAGCTAGCAAATTATCTAGAGTAACATCCGAAAGTAGAAAAAGTCCTTCATCCCTTATTAGTTAGTCACCCAAATTACAGTGTGATGAAAGGATAAACTACAGGATATATGGGCACATTTTCATTTTATCTTAAATGGTTAGTATTTGATATATTACTATAATGATTTTTCTTAGTACTAACTTTGATAGCTTATGTGAATTCGTAAAAAATCAAAAGCGTTTTGAATTCGGAACAAGCTTAGGGGGAGTGAAAAGCTCTATTGATCACTTTGGTGGGACAATGAGATACTACTACACTATTGAATAGAGAATAGAAAGAGGATATACTGATAACTTTTATAGAGTATCAACAGGGATAGAGGATGTGGAAGATTTAATAAAAGATTTAGAATAGGCTCTTGAAAAATTAGAATGAAAATTCTGTATTCGATCATTTATTATGAAGAAAATGCCTCAAATACAGTTATTTATTTTTACAAAATCAATTCTAATAATAAATCTTATTTAAATTGGTAAAGGGGTTTTGGGGTTTTGGGG